GTTAACAGGCAACCTGATGAGATCTCAGATTTCGCATATGATATGAGTCATATGTGAGATCTGTGATCTCATTCAAGCGGAATTCTGTATATTTTCATATCATTGATATCAATTGTGGGGCATTGATGAGATATATCCAACATCATTATTAGAAATACATCCTATATAATCACATCTGTTACCACTGGGTTGCCTTCTCGAAACACTATGTTAAGGAATGTACAACAGAACATCCATTGGTCTGATTGCTGTCAAAATATGAAAAAAATCTTCTTTATCGCTCGTTTGTTACTGTCCATCACATGTTCCTTGTTCTATGTTTAAGCTACGACCAGAAAAAAATAATGATTTTTTTCTATTTCAGCACTACTATACGCCACTATATTTGGTCACGTGACAACAATAATACAGCAGATGACTTCAGCAACTGCCAAATACCACGACATGTTGAACAATGTGAGGGAATTCATGAAACTCCATGAAGTTCCAAAGGCACTCAGCGAAAGGGTCATGGACTACGTTTGTCAGCACCTGGGCAATGACGAAGGGATTGGACACCGACAAGGTTTGTAACAAAATGAATAGGTTTCAAACATAAAATCTTCTCTCTTCAATTTCTTACACATTAGGTTTTCAAAATATAAACAATTTAGTTTTTATTTATTTTGTTATCCGTATGTTTGAATGGATAGCAATCAAATTTCCCTTTTTTGTTGAAAATATGTGTTAGCAATAAAAATCGCGCTCATTATCATGAAATAAAGTGTAACATTAAAGCGTATAAAGTTGAGCTAATGCCACATCTCAAAGATTTTAATAGGGAGATATTTGATAGTCCTTTTTTACAATTTACATCAAAATAATAATTATAGAACATTTTCTCTAGAAAAATGATTTTTACAATCAAAATCTCATACTTTGACAATAGGGTTTGCCTTTACTGATTGATACATCCCCATTCCAAACTATGATTGATGAAAAAAATTAATATGTAAAATGTCAGTTAATAAATGAAGAAAATGCTGAAGTAAACTAGATGTGAGATTTTTTTGCAAGAACTTCTCAACATGTGTAAATAATCTACTAAATCTACACGACCACTTGTACTTCTATATTTTAACGTATTTTCTAAAGCCGCCACAGACGTTTCTGTACGTTTATACTTGTTTATCTATGTTTCTGTATATATGTGCAACTAAATGAATGCGCAACCAGGCGTATTTTCACAGTGTCCACAGACGACTCAAGTGTCTGTTCAAGTGTTTGCGCATGTCAACTAAGGAATGTCAAGACAAAACCTAGAAATATATGTATATTTTATACATATATTTTAGTATATGCATGGCATCGTAAGGCAAATTGCTAGAACTTCGTGTACCGAAAACTATTTTTTTAAAAAAACTTTAAAATTTTTTCAAAACTGAAAAAATTGATAATTGAGAACTTTGAAATTTTTGAAAAAATTGGACTTTTTTGAAAAATTTGATTTTTTTTTTTAAATTCTGAAATTTTTTGAAAAGTTTAAGCTTTCTTTAAAGCAATCACGCTGCTTTGTTGAAATATCGAAGCGCGTAAGCGCCGCGTCGTAGTTTAACGTGTAAACATTGGTGCGAAACCCATAGAAATATACACAAAATTTGTACTTATTATTATAATCTCATTATGACCATTTTTGACCGCCAAATGACATTGTTTTTACTTTTTTACTGGACCTGCCTTTCCAAAAATTTCACCATTTGTTCATTTCGTCAATGTAGAAAAATGATTTTTGAATCATTCAAATTGGACAATCCGTTCTCTTAAAAAAATTTGGCCAAAAAATTGTACTCATTTAGTTATAAAGAAACGGCTCGGCCGATCGTCGCGAAAAACTAATAAGTCTTTATCGAGTATCATCGAGTGGCTTTTAAACTTTAAAAATCAGTGCAGCTGTTAGTTCAGATAATGGTCAAATGTTTACAGGAGTATTTTTACAAGAACTAATAATATGCCAGAGATGTGTTCATTATCATTTTGATGTATTTTTAAAAAAAGGACTAAGATATCTCTTTTTTTAATTTTTGTACGTGACATTAGCCAAAAAAACGCCGCACTTTCATATGTGCTTTGATACCATTTAGTAACGTCACTGAATAGAAGCTATCGGTAACATATTTCTTTTAAATGCCGCAAGGATCGAGATCGCGTAAGTATATAATTGTGCATGTAATAGATACTTTTTCAAAAAAAAAAAAAAAAGTTAAAACTAAATTTTGTCGCGGTTTATGTGTTTGTTTCACACCCATCGTGGGTAAAGAAGTTTAACTTCGAAATTTTTAAAGTCGACTCAGATATTGAGGTAGACGATTGAAATATAGAGTTTTTTATTCGAAACTTATAAGTGTAATAGAACAAATGGTAGTTTCAAACAGATTTCATCCCTTAGATGAAACCAATTAGCCAATGTGTATGATCTTTAATGCAACTTTGGCAGAAATTTAAAATATATGTTGAACGAATTGGAACAGTTAATAATGTCCTAATTGTAATTTTTTTCATTCAGGTTTTGAACTACTGCCCAAAAGACATGAAAGCTGATATTTGTGTGCATCTGAATAGAAAAGTCTTCAATGAGCATCCAGCATTCAGATTAGCTTCTGATGGCTGTTTAAGGTAACCATAATAATAATAATAATAAGTTAATAATAAGATATAGTAAATGTTTAAAACCAAGGCAAATACTTGATGATTTTTAATTTTCGCCATCAAATATTAAGGCGTTCGTATTGCAACCAGAAAGCAATCAGTCTGATATTAATTTTTACTTCAAAATATGCAGATCCATATTTGCAAGATTTTAAAAATCTTGATAAATTGTTTCTCTCATTGCAGAGCATTGGCTATGCATTTTGCAATGTCCCATAGTGCCCCTGGAGATCTTTTATACCACACCGGAGAAAGTATAGATTCCTTATGCTTTATCGTGACTGGAAGTTTAGAAGTTATACAAGATGATGAAGTAGTCGCTATTTTAGGTAAGATAATAATGAAATTTATTGCCTTTTTTATTATTTTATTTTAATTACAATCTTTCACACTTAAGACATTCAGTAATTGTTTTGACTTTTCTTATTATATGAATCTTGAATGGATGGCAACCCAGTAGTTGTCCAGTCCAGTTATGACTAATTATCTATACTCGAATTATTTGCTGACATTTTTATTATATATGCAACTATAGCCATGAGAGGCGATTTTCACTTGAGGGCTATATTTGAGATCTATAACCTCAAGTGGAAATTTGATATCAAAGTTGCCTGATGTCAGGCTTGGCGGTAGCGGGAATCGAACCTGCGAACTTAGGACTAGTTGGTGCTAGCCCACGTTCTAAAATTTATTGCTTTTAATCAACATTATATCAAAAAAAGCATAAACATCACTAAAACTATTTATGTATACTATAACTATAATACTATATGTATATTTGCATACTTTCACGTTCTATTATTTGGAGAACATTTTGGAACATAAATCATATTTTGTTTTTAGGTAAAGGTGATGTTTTTGGTGACTCGTTTTGGAAGGACAGTGCTGTTGGCCAATCAGCAGCTAATGTGCGAGCATTAACATACTGCGATTTGCACACCATAAAACGTGATAAATTACTACAAGTTTTGGACTTCTACCAAGCCTTTGCCAACAGTTTTGCCAGAAACTTGCTGCTCACATATAATTTAAGACATCGACTCATATTCAGGTTGGTTGATAAATAACAAACACAAGATAATGATTATGTGAAATCAACACATAATAGATTATTATTATATTATACTATACTGTTTATAGCGCTGCGATTTACTATATTTTTTTTTAGAAAAGTGTCAGACGTCCGACGTGAGCGAGAGTTGGCAGAAAGACGCAAAAATGAGCCTCGTCTGGACCAAACCCAAGATCATCTGGTTCGAAAGATTTTCTCGAGATTTCGAAGGGACAGGAGTGTTCAGGGTACTGGCGATGCTGAAAAAGGTGGAGGAACCACCACTGACGATGACACGGGGGTTGCCGGCACGGGTGGTACCGGCGGTGGAGGTGCGCAGAGGAATGGAAAGGTAATAAATATAAACCAATAATAGTAAATATATACTTTTATTAGTGAAGTTGGCATCAGTGTCCTAATTTAAAAATTGTCTAGTTTAGTAACGTTTTTGCGATTGTATATGATGAATAAAGTCATAATCATAATCCTGTAAGATGTTGGGCATCATTGTCACAGTCTTATCAAGAAAAAAATTAAAACTTGTAAAGGGTATTTGGCTTTTGACTTTAACTCCAATTACTTCTAAAAACAGAAGAATCCACTGATAAGAAGAAAAGACTTGCATTTTTTGCAAAGAAATCTATTCGCATTCTTAGTCCGTCGAAAGTTGGTTTCGATGTATTATTCGTTTGCCCAACGGACCAAATGATCTATTTGTGAACTATCTTCCAAAAAAATTGTATTTTAAAATGTGCAAGTAATTGTCTGTCTATGTAGACAAATGTTTTTTTACTATTAGTTGCATTTTCCTTAATATTATATTTTCTGCTTAATTAATAGACTATGTTGCTGGTAGTCAATGAATCTAAGATGAGTAAAACCGATAACGAGTAAAAACACCGTGTTATTTTGTCCGTACTTTCCCTATACATAATAAAAAAAATTACGTAGTAACTATAATATCGAAATCGAAACTATAGTATCGAATTAAAATGTATGCCTAATTACAGAAAAAATGCAATGTCCTTTTAAAGTAACAAAGACTTGAATCTGTTTCGAAGGACCACATCATCTTAATTTCACGAAATTAAGATTTGCACACTGATATATTCATTTAAATTATTTAATAAATGATATTCTACTTATAAAACATTAATTAAATCTGTAACTGATCTTTATAAATATATGCGTTTCGCAGGAATTGATAGATGTCAGTCACAATTTTTTATTGTATTATTTATACAACTATTAATTATACCGAATTTTATTGGAACCGCCAGGTTATAGCAGAAGCTTTTTGTCACAGTTTACAATGCAGCAGTATTTAATAATTATATTTTTTCTTTTTAAGAGCTTGCAATCGAAACTTAGTACAGAGAGAGACGATTCAACAGCCAGTTCACCTGTTACATCACAACCTCCGCAAACTGCAACAGGTTAGTATATCAATATTCACATATAAGACCAATCACTAGAAGATTGGCCTTGGCTATAGAATTTAGCTATTTGCGTTTTTCATTTTTATAACATATACTTTTTACATCTATTTGAGAATTTGGAAAGTAAATTTAATTCTGGAATTTGGAATAAATGATAATTTTTCTCCAGCTGGTTCGAAACCGAGAACTGCAAAAGGTACGGGTGCGGGAGGTGGAACGGGCGCAGGAACCTCAACGGCTGGCGTTGGTTCCAAATGGTCCCGACTATTAGGTTCCTCAAGTCTGGACTCGACTTCTGGTGCCGCAAGCGGAGGCGGTGACCGAAGCAGCGCAGGAAGTGATCGCCAAAGTTCGGCGAGGCAAAGAGGCGACGAATCAGGAGGAGGTAATGTGTAGTATTAGTAGAAAAGTGCAATATGGTTTGTCAACGTTTTCGCAAAATATCCTCAGACGATTATGAAAATTTAAAACCCATTTGGAAAAAATTATTAGAGAATCTTGCTGATTAGTTTTTGCCAAAGATCGGCCGGGCCTTTCGTTGTGAACAAAGAGTGCGCGCAAGGTTCACACGCGATTGAAGTAAAACTTATTTGCTACTGTACAAGATGGCATTTAAGTAAAAATGAATACTTCATATAACAATTTTGAATAATGTTTATTAGTAATGTGGTAACACTCGTGATGCACACATTTATTAGTGTCAATAACATTTATATAATGTATATAAGTTTGGCTTTATACTTCAAATATGGCTTGATCGGTTTGTCATTGTAATTAGCATTTAGAAATGAACCTTCATTAGAGAAATGAAGTAATTGCTGAATAATAACTTCTATAATATTTGTTCACGCAGTAGATTATGTTAAACGACGCCTAAACAAATATTGTATTCACAATTTTATCATATAATATTAGTGTTCGAAGAACTTTGCTGGTGATATAATCTCATTCTTTGAACAGCAGTAATATCTGTCTTGCCTAAAAAATATTTTCCATTTTAATAAGGTGACCATACATTCCGAATTGGCCGGGACAGTCCCGATTTTCCTCAAGCAATATTTGTCCCGGATTTTTAAAAATGTTTTGATTGCCAATATATTTCAACTAGAAAATTTGAACTGAAAAAATGTGCATATAAGTTTTTAGCTCATCAACAACATTTTTTAAATTTATTTAATAAATGTGTGAAAGTAATATGTATTTTTATTTGAAATATTTGATAATAAACTTCAGTATAGTTATAAATTTATAAAAAAAAATCTATGTCGGTTGTTGTCCATGACAAAGCCTAAGGGGTTCACGGCACAAAACCTTTGGGAACCTATTATCGAAACGGACATTCTAAAATATTAGAGGCCTGCGAAAAGGGTTGAATAATAAAAATTCTATGAACGTTTCCATAATGTTCCCTTTTTATAGAAATGCCTACCTTTGAGTACATACAAGCGTTTTCTAGACTAAGTTTTCTGTCTAAAAGGCCTGGCTGCACAGCAACCATATAGGATTTTTACAGTTATTAGTACCACTTTATATGAAAAACGCTACATAACATAGCCTTCCATAACATTGGTCTATTTTATGGCAGAATCAGCCGCTTTATATCATATGTTTTACCTAAATATCACACTTTTGCTGAGTAAATAGTAATATTAAAGGCATTTGAAGAAGTTCCTCTCTATTTAATTCTCTCTAGAAGTATTTGAAATATAGTCTACTTATATAAAATCATTTAATTGTCTCTCCACATAATATTTGGCGAATTAACAATATTTATGAACTAATTCCACTATTTCTGATCGTCTTTTTTCTTCTAAGTAACTTTACGTTGATCGAAATCTGAAAGCGCTTTCCTTCAAGGGAGTGACAAATATTTAATTTTCTTTTATCTCTTAGACTTTATTGCAACTTTTAACACATTTCATGCCCTTAGAATCAATTGTTTACTTCTCTAAAAAAAATCGCATAGAATTTGTGAATATTGTTTAAGGTAATACGTTTTTTGCAGAGTAATAATCATTTAGGTAATCAATTAATTCAAAAAAATGCTAAAAAATCTAGTAAATATTTTTCTGTATTTTGTTTATTGCAAGACTTATTTACAAATTGATATAAATGTCAATGAGAATAATAATATGACTCCGGAGGAAAAAACATATTTACATAAATTTTGTTTCAATTATTATTTTATTCATTCCTAATATTTTTAGGCCCAGCTGCTGGTACTGGGGGCGAAAAGAAAGGACAAACAAACAAGGTGATGTTATTGGCACAATCTTAGCATGTCACTTATTAGTTACGATTTTTTTCGTATTTACTTTTTTAGGTATGACCAAGCAATTTAAATTAAAATTAAAATGTAATGTAAATAAGAAAGAATGGAATTTGAAATAGCTTCTGCATTTTCTAAAATTATTTTGACGGAATATTTCTGCATGACTTTTTATCCGTAGAATTCATAATTAGGGTACTTTGAGTCATTATCATTATTATTATTTATATGAAATCGCGGAACAACAATTGGCTGAACAATGACAAATATAAAATAATTATTTTTTATATAATACTATAGGATGATGTATTAAATAAATATTATATTGTTCATTCATGAAGGTTTGCGAAGATAGTAAGGAGAAGACACAAAGCAAACCGAGACAACGCCGAGACTCGTTGCTAGTAAGTCGAGACAAATTGTGTGGACTTTGCAATTTAACAAATAACAATTGTTTTTTTATCAATTCATATTTGTGTTTTATGTTTGGTTTTTTAGTTTATTACACACAGAGCATCACCTTATTGTTATTATTGTAATTTACAATTCTAAACACAAAGTAGTAATTAAAAAACATATAAAGGAAAACAATAATCACGCTTGAGCACTTAAAGCACAGTAATCATGCTTGAGTGACTAAAAGTATAGGAGATTTGAGAAAATGAAATTCTCTGACCACTTTAAGAAATCAATACTATATTTAATAGTAAGAACGTGGGTTAAACAAACTAATCTCGGGTCAGATTCCAACCTCTGCCAGTACGGTATCAAGCAATATGATATCAAATTTCTACTTGAGGTTATAAACATCAAGTACAATCAAGTTGCCTCGAAGGGATTGCTACAAAATTGAAAGAACATAAATAGGTCAACTTTTAGATATACATATCTAAAATATATAAAAACCAAGAGTGGTTGACCGCTTGGTTGCCCTCTCAAGAAAAATACTAGTTAAGGATGTACTATAGCAAACACAGCTCACAGAACACTTGATGCTGATTGCTGTTAAAACACACACACACACACATACTTTTTAGCACCTTTTTGCACTTGAAAATGCTTTTATTCATACACCAAAGCTTTTCTATAAAGTATGATTCAAAAAAATATGATTTAAATCTGAAACATCCTGGGCCACAAAGTAATGGGTTCTGGATTTTGACAATGTCTTATTATCATCATCCATTGATTTTTCAATATAAAAGTCCTCCTTAACATCATATAGGAAATTTTTATTATGAAAATTTAGACCCGAATATGTTTCAACATATCTTTTTAGGGCATTGCTAAAATAGCACAATTAGAAAGGATGCCCTTAGGGTTTTCTTCTTATAACGTACTACTAAGGATTCTCTTAGGGATTAAATATGCTGTCTAATAGCATTCGTAAAGTAACAGTAATAAGAATCACTATTTACAGCCAATAAGACACACGTTTTGATTGAACATCATTGAACATCATTCAATTTATCTTATGAATTACCGAAATCTTTGAAATTATTTTTGAAATTTAGAAGTTTGGCAAACAATTGTCCTCGATGTTCTGTGAACTGTTAGTCATGTTCATCAACTTATTCTGGGCGATATCACATCTAATAATTTTTCCAAATTCTTATTTCTTTGGGCAATATACTTCCCAATCTTCAATTTTTGGCTTTAAAAAAATTGTCATATTTAAGAGATGTTAAAAAAACATGTGATAAGGGCTAACACAATGAACTCAGAGATTCAGATGCTAATATAAACAGTCATTTGAGTGAAGACTAATAGGACAATTCTGCTGTAGAATAGACGAAAAGATAGCGTTGTTATGGCAACGCTAAGCTATGCTTGTTTTTTGGTAGGAAAAATTGGGCAATTGTCTATCTAATTGCTGTATGATCAGGCAATCAGGCGTTTTACACATAAAATTACTTTGTTATAAATGCACATCACAAAAATGCAGTTATCGTAACATTCTGTTATGCTTTGTTTATATGCAAAATAAGCCTGATACCACAGCAAATAGATAACATTAGCACAGTTTTTACTACCAAGAGATAAGCATAACAGTTTATGTTGAGCAAGAATTGGCCCATGAGCTTTGTTAATCCCATAAGCTCTTTCAACGGAATATTTTGTATAATTTAGCCGGTTTTAGAATATAGTAGGTATATAGAATGTTATCACAATATTTATATGCAATGTTTTAGCACTTTTGGAGTCGTTACGCCCTTGAAAATATAAAACAAAAATAATAAACGAATTGGCATAAGTATTCAATTGAAAATAGTCATAGTAAAGTAGCAACAGATAATCAGTCACCTTAAACTTCTAAAAATCGAACTTAAGTTTAACCAAAAAATTAAATACCTTCATCAGCAATGTATTTATTTGCATCGTACTATTTTCTTATTCATATTTTAAAATTGGTAAAAAAATTACTTATAAGTAGACTAAGCTAAATATTTACATACGAGAAAATGTACAATACTCTGTAATTATAAGTAGATAAATATGATTTGTACAATCACCAATATACAATAGTGGCACAGATATTAAATATATCAATTTGTATTTAATTTCATATCATTTTAGATAGAACGCGTTTCGTACAAAAAACATGATGCACTAAATACATACTCTTATTCTTATTATATTTAAAACTTAATATATTTACACAGACGATTTTCTTGTAGGAATATTTAAAACACACGTTAGTTCTACACTTGTAAAATTATTTTTTAATTTGCAATATAATTTTCAAAGCTTTTTTCTCTCACTATACTGAATGGGTGTTGTGATGATAAATATTGTGGTTTCTAATTCTTCTATCTATGACTGAAAATATTTCTATTATAATTTCAACTTTTCAGCAACTATAACTATGCTGTTTAATTTCTGTCTGTCTTAGTGATTTACTAGCAATGCGACTCGTTTATATGTATATATGTATATATATACATGTATATATGTGTATATATACATATATAGCACTAGATTTTAGCGGCACTGTCATTATATCGTTGCTTTCCTATAGGCACTGATCTCAAAGCACCTAAATCCATAAAATTTCTTCATATATATATATATATATATATATATATATATATATATACATATATATATACACATTAGGGCGGGTCAAACTGTATGAAGCCCAATAAATAATAATGGGCGAGCATTTTTGGTAAAAAAAACTTTATTGAAATTTTCGCTGGCTAATAATGCTCATCCTAACTATTGTTTCTTTGGTAAAGTTTTTTAAATTATCCATAGAATAATAATCGCATAATGCCCCTATGATGCCCAAAAAATTTGACCCTCCATAATGGGTATATATATGTTTGGAATCTATCTTCCGTATACATTCTTTTTTGATGTTTTAAAATGTATGCATAATAGTATGTGGATTTATGTAATATAAAAATAAGAATTACTTCGAGAAATCAAAGAGGGATTCAAAATATAAATTTGAGATATTCTGGAACTGTTAAAATTGTGCAACTCCAGCAAAATTTTCGACTCTATGATTACTTGCATGAATGATAATTCACGATTTAATTTTGTGCTTTTTTTAATTCAAATCTCAATCAAAACATTTTTGTTTGGAACATTTATGTTATGGAAGCTTCTTGCAACGTCAAATTTTAAGTTCATACTAATTTCCTTGTACTCTTTAAATATTAGTACTTGAAAAATACGTCTATTGTTAATCCGCCAAATTGATGGATCGACGTCAGGATGAACAGAACATATAATAGCTCTTCTGGTATTTATTTGGATATTGCATATATATTTATAAAAAACGTATTTCACCTATATAGATTGGTATTCATAATTAGCCTGTTTTCCATTAACCAATTCAATGAAACTAGTACTGTCAACTTGTTGTCAGTTCCAAAATTAGTTAATGCAGAATCCTTGATTTTCTAGAAAACTTTTCTAGGAATTTCTAGCGATACCTAGGAACACAAATTTCCAGAATATCTTAAAAACCATTACACCACAGCTTACTTTTAAATCCACTCCACTTAAGTAATCTTCTGTGGTGACAATACACAATTTTATTCAGTATTTATATGTATCTTTTTTAATATTAAAGCAGGTGTTTCCAAAAGCCCCAAAGGTTTCACAAGCCAGGGATGCCTTGAACCTAACAAGACAGGATACTATTCAACATTATGGTTAGTACTTGATCAATCATACTTGATTAATTAAAATCATATGAACAGGATGGTTGTTATATTAATGAACTATGAATAATATCCTAGGTTTGCGTGATCGTCCACCAGTGGTTCGCAGTCAAGAAGTATATGACGGTGGATTGAGGGAACCCCCATCGCCAAATTCACAAATGCCAATACAAACTACCCTTGTACAGGCGCCCCCTTTGTGTTCGCAACAACATAGAGAAGTTATGGCACAATTATTAGAAATCAAGGTAAATTTGTAAATGATCATTAATTGTGTGAGTGATTGTGGATACAGTTTTACATGAAACCATTCTAATTGATTTGGGTCTAAAAGAAGAATTTTTTCAAAATATTTGCAAATATAGATTTGGAGTTTTTTTGGGACTTTTTTTCATTGACTGAATATCAGTTGAATTTTTTTATTCATGGTTACAGACGGATGTTAAACTGGAAGTGCAAAGGCTCTCGAGTCGAATGTCCCGTCTTGAAGAACTTCTAGCAGAATTAATATCTTTGAACAAAAGCGAAACAAAAAGTGAACCTTCTCCTGAACCTATAGGTAAAATAATTTATCGCTCACATAAATTTAATACACTATTACAAATGAAGAGTTTAGGTCACTAAGATCTGTTTTGTATAGAAATTTATTCAAAAATCAATTGCAAACTGAGGACAAAATTCTAGTAATCCTTCTTATTGGTTTTATTTTACGTTTCTTTGGTATCTACAGTCTGCATTAGATTTTATTCTTGAATTATTGAAAAATATACGATTCATGTCTCGGTTACAAGATTTCTTCAGTTTACATTTAGAACTGATTTCTTTGACTGAAACTTTGATTTAACTGAAAATTTAGCTATAGTTGGCAGGTAATTAAACTAATGTTAACTGTGAATTTATCTAAAAAGCAATGATACTTTATTACTTATTATAGACGATATTGTAGATTTTGTATTGTAAAAGAAATTGAGAATAAAGGGCTTAAGAACGTTATGCAGTTGTGTATCATGTATCATACTTAGTTTTGTGATGAGAGCATCGTCCTTGCAATAGCAAAATTTTGAGTTCAAATCTAGCACTACGTACAACATGATACACCTGAAGCATCAACCAAAGCAATATAGATGTCCGTTTTATGAACCAAAACTTGTTTCCATGTAAAATTAGCCTTTCAGGACGATGCAGCAATATATCGTAATTCAAAAAATCTAAATATTTCATCACAAAGAGACAAAACTAGTATGGGCTGGCTTCTAATAAAGTTAATTAGTAAAGAATACATCAAGCTCGTAGAACGCAGAAATTGCTATTGGTGTGCAAATAGTTGAATAAAAATAATATTTTTTGATCCGTATCTAGACATGATTTTTTTATTCGAATCAGGAATTATTTGCCGCAAAACTAATGGTACTAGAGCTAGCAACGTTTTCGAGAAAGAACTTTAGACAAGCTGATTTTTTGTTATGTGTTCCTTGATGCTCTTTCGGCTAGAGAATGGGCCATCTGGCTACAGAAATCGCACCTGTAGAAGTTGGCTGCGCACTAATAAACGCAACCACTTTCAGCAGCCAGATGGCCCATACTCTGACCAAAAGAGCTCCAACTCTGACCAAAAGAGCTTCAAGACCACATAACAAAAAATCAGCTTGCCTAAATTTCTTATTTTGAAAACGTTTCTAACTCCTTTACGATAACTTATGTAAATAATTTGAAAAAAAAAATCTATATTTTTTAGAATCTCCAGTAGACCAATCCAGTACCAGTACAACGCGTTTAGGACCTTTAGTGTTAAGGAAACGACGATCGAAGCGCTCCGGGGCGACATCGGCAGCGACCTCATCCATCGCCACTCTGACGTCGCCGGTCACCATGACGTCGGTTATGGGTATAACCTCACCGGTAACCATAGTTGCGTCAAGTGGGACATCCAGACAACAGGCCCAAAGTAGTGGTAAATTGATTTTTTTATATAAATTTTAATTTACAAAAAGTTGTAAGAGAGCAATAGGTCCAGAAATAATCAACATATGGATAATTCAAATCGGATGCTTCGTTCTCTCGAAAGCTGCCATGTTTTGCATATTTAGCTCCGTATCTACAAAACGGCTGGACTTGTATATGCTAAAAACTAATCACTACTTTTCCCCATCATCACGAATAGAATGTTTTTTGAATCATTTGAAAAACCTCTAAATTATAATATTATAGATTAATCTCCATGTTATTTCTTACAGTGGCATCAGATAGTCAACCAAGTAGTCCTACAGAATCTGCAAGACTTTTGGACGAAACAACTACAAGTGATCAACCTTCTAGGAGAAAACGTGATTATCTGTAACCGACATTGGATTGATTCAAGAAATAATAGAAATTGTAGTGAAATTATATCTGGCTCCATCTATGAAACAAATATTACTCGGAAAAAAATCTAAGCATTGGTATTAGGAAACATAGGAAACAGAATTATGAAAATATCAGATATTGTCAGGAAATAATGTATCCTAAAACGTTATTTAGGCCTTACAAGCCTAAGCTGAAATAAGAGAAGGAATAAGAACCTTTCTGGTGTCTGTATGAAACAGTAGATGGTGCTATTGATTTACTGGTAAGTTTGGATTTTTGCTGAGTAACTGAATTTTGGAACAAAGAACGAACGAATTTACAATATGCAACGTTAGGTAAAAAAATTATAATATTATAAATCGATAATCGATTGGATTAATTAAATTATTAAAATATTCTATTGTCAAATGCTAGTTAATTTGATCAAAGCCTGCCATAATGATATTAATATTAGATATAAGATATATATATATATATATATATATATATATATACATTTATATATGTATATAAATATATAAGAATATAAAAAGCCTATAATGCTGCTATGCGCGTATATTCAACAAATAAGTTACATATTTTTAAGTGTTTTTTTTCTAAAATTATTATTATAAAAAAACTGTACATAGTTAGATATAAGTAAAGATATATATAAATATATCTAACGTTAAAAATATCGATAAAGCTCTTGTAGTGATAAAAAATACTCATTTTATAAGAATAAACGCTAGAATTTATGATTCAAATGCCACTTGACAAAATAAAATTCGACAAATACACAAACAGAATCATTTCTCATTTAAAGTAAACTTTTAGATTATAACAAAAGTCTCTCAAAATTTATAAGATTGTTTTCTCTTGTCAAAATAGTATCGCAATGACGCATGCGTTTGTGCCAGGTGTGCCCAACCTAAGATGTAAGAATAAATTATTCTTAACCTTCTCACGTCGAAAGAAATTATGCTTTCTTAAAAGTATTTTGTTACCATCTCTGTTACCATCAACTGAAGTATTATTTAGATCTGAACGTACGATTACTATTACATTTTTTATTTTCATTTTATTAAATATAGTTTGGCCTTAAATTCATGTTTCGATTTTAACGAATTTCACAATTTGAATTTGAAACGAAAATAAAATACACACACAACAATAGTTTAATAATTTCATAATATTTGAAACCAATTCATGTATAATATTGCCAACGTAATTCTTGTTCTCAAATTTTATATACTATAAAATACTACGTGATTATTTGCGAATTTAGTTAATATCTGTTTAATTTATAATTTTATAAACGATAATAATTATTAGAAACGCTTTCTATTATTTTTATGTGAGTTCTTAAACAAATGCCCCATTGAACAAATATAAGAATTTTTACATAAATGCTGGATGAAAAAACTATATAATTTATATAGACAAAATTTGAATTCAAATCTAATTTAAATTTCAAAATTAATGTTCAAATATAATATATTATATTTACCAAAAATTTCAAGGAATTCATTATTAAATTTTTGAAAATCGTGTAGAGTTCATTTTTCCATTCATATCTTGTTCATTTAAGTATCAAAGTTATAATGATAGATAAGTATTATTGACTAAGATTTGTTTATTTATTTTATTATTTTATGTATTTCAATTTTATTCATTGTATATTAGATTAACGTGATAATAGATTAGATGAAATTATGGAGATAAAAAATTAAACAGAAAAAAATTAAGTAAATAATAAATTCACATCAAACTACTAAGTTAGAAACAAAAATAGTAAATGACATGCATACTAATTTTTCATGCAAAAGTGAAGTACTTCACTTTTTTTAGTTTTCCGATTTTTTGTACTAAATAAACTGATTTGATTTTGACTTATTTGAGTAAATAAGTACTACATTTATTTGTGCTACTAATAATAAGTATAAATAAATTAATACTATGAATTAGATACTCCTAGCTCTGTGTGTAAAGAAATTTTAACAATTTGTTTTAAGAAAACTTCTATATGTGTATAGGAAACTTATGCATATTTGTTAGATTTAATATGTATCTTATAACAAATATGTTTAATATCTTAGAGACATATAGAAGTTTTCTTAAAACAAATTGTTAAAATTTTTTGAACTTTTCAACTGCAATTTTTTACTTTTATAATTCAGATTAACAAATTTTATTTCGATATTTATCGACTAGTTATTCTGAATCGTTCGATACCAAAATTAAAGAATATATGTGAAGAATCAGCTGGAACGTTTCTTCGTTATTAGTTGTTGAAAAAATGATGGCTTTTTAGATGAAATAGTTTACAAATAGTTTCATTATAAATATACATTAAATTTTGGAATAATCAATCGCGTTCTTTGGACATACACCAATGCATTCTATGCTTCGTACTAATTACTGTTGCCATCTACTCTTAAATAGAGTATATTTTATTCAAAAAATGCAAATATTATAATTTTGTTTAAGGGATATCAATTGGAAGTCGAATTGATTAGTTCTTCTTTAAAACAGAGAATACGTTTTGTCCATAACAAACAGTCGGAACCATCATTTAAATAGCTAAACTTCAATTTTTATTAATTTACACATATCAGAAAATTAATGCAACTTGTCTTGATGCAAAATTCCACTTACGTCTGGTTTCTATTTTTGATCTAGTAAAGGCTGTATCAGTTAACTATTTCTAAATAAATCCTTATACTGCGTTTAACCATTTTGGACAGTGAATTAGTTTCATATCTAAAAAGGTTGGGCACAACTGGCCATCCGGCCTGTTGCATCGTCGTCATGCCCAACTGTCCTCTACTAGCGTCGATTCTTATAGATGACAGATCGTAAAATTTCTTACTAAGCTTCTTAAAATTATCTAAAACTAAACAAAACCTAATAAAAGATAAAAGATAAACGAACTAATTATTATAGAATAGGGATTGTTTTCGCTAAAATCACAGATGCACATACATAATATAATAAATAAATAAATAACTTGCTCGTTCATGCAAGCGAGTTAGTGACTCATTCCTATTGATAAGATAACGTTTTACGCCAATAATCAATTTTTATTGAACGCTTTACATTAGATAAATAACGAACAAACTATGTAAATATATCATTAATGAATCGTAAATAACTGAACGACTTGGATTGTCAGATTGTTAATATGTGGAAACCAGAAGGAGGTCGAATGCGAGCAAATCAGAACTTCAGCTTGGGTTTAAATCACTATTTTTTATCATGGTTTTGTAAACAAGCCTATACGATAATCGTAATACATACATACATACCTACATACCTACATACCTACATACATACATACATACATACATATGCAATATACATATAAATGTATGTATGTATGTACATATGTATGTATGCATGTATGTATGTATGTATATAAGTCTGCATGTATGTACTAATATACATACATAATTTTATAGAGCTCTAAGTCAATTGCAATAAATTTTCATAATTAGTTATAAATATATTACTACAGTAATATATATGTATATATAAACTACATAAATTAAATTAATACAAAATATTGTACATAATTAGGAAAATATTACTATTGAATACTCATCACTCACACTATTATCTTAATTTGTTATACACATATATTTGTAATGTATGCGAGTGTATAAAAAAATATACATACGGACATACATACAATTATATGTATATATACAAGACTACATAGTGCTTTATATATCAATTTGCTTAATGCAAGATTAGACCAATAATACCTATTATCAGAATTATATAAATATGTATATACATACATATATGTGTATGAAGATATATACATACATATTTACATTATATAATATATAATATATGCATGTATGTATGTATGTATGTATATGTGTATGCACTATACATGTACACATATATAAGTAGTAGTTATATAGTAAATTTTTCGATAACGCGGTATATAGAAACGCGATTTTCATATTACACGGAGATGCTTTTGCGAAAACACTCTGAACTCGGTATTTTTATAACACTGTATTTTTATGACACGGTATTATTTAACACGGTATTCTTTCAACACGGTATTCTTTCAACACGATATTCTTTTAACGCGGTATTCTTTTAACACGGTTTTCGTTTGACGACTCGTAACTTCCCTCGAGCAATATAAGATTGACTCTAGTAACTAGATAGAGTTGGAAAAGTTTATAATATAGGTTTTAATGCAGACAATTTTATTTTTTACAATATGTAACGATTAAACATGCCAGTTTATATCAAAACTGTGCACAACGTCGATTTTAGTAGTGCCACAGCTCTTTCGCAGAACTATAGACTTTCTAAAAAAAATCAGCTTGAATTTTTTTTTTTGAGGAAAATAAGTTTTTAATTTAATTTTTGTTTCATATCCCTATATAAACTCATCAATTCAATAAAAATAATTTATATTTCTTTAACTTACTCTCTTCATATCAATAAAAAATAATTTATCTTTCTTATCACATATTTATATGACCTCTTCACTTCAATAAAAACAATTTATAATTTATAATATCTTCTGTATTTATCGATCTCCATATAACACGGTATGAAGGCTGTGATTTGTACTTCTGAGTTTCCTATAACACGGTTTTTAGAACTTAGTACGAATTACTCTGGATTGTGAATTAAATTCGATTTTCCTATAGCACGCTTTCCATACTACACGATTCGCACTCACCGCGTTATCGGAGGATTAACTGTACTTACAAATATGCAGTACATACGAATATGTAGATATATGCATCTGTGTACATCCTTGTATACATTTACATGTATAAATGCATACATAAATATATACATAAACTTATATACGTATACGTGAATATACATAAGATGTACATACATAAATGAATATGTAGATATGTATATGTACAATCTTATATACATGTACATTTATAACTGCAACATAAATACATATGGAGATATATACATGTATGTACAAACTTATATACATATATGCTACACACACACACACATATG